TATATATATATATATATATATATATATATATATATATAATATATATATATATATATATATATATTTGTATTTTTATTAAATATCTATATATATATTCACAATATATATATATATATATATTATACATGTACAAGAATATATGTAATATATATATATATATATAAATATATATATTACTCACACCTTTGTATATCCTCGTCTGTGTCATATAAATGTATATTCCACGAGTATACACCCCTATCGATCTTATATTTCTATTGTTTCTATAACCATGTTTGTCTTATAACCCTACTGACCCTATTCTCACCCATGTTAGTCTTATAACCCTACTGACCCTATTCTCACCCATGTTGGTCTTATTACCCTATTGACCATATTCTCACCCCTGCTACACGCCCTCCTCCCCTTCACCCTTCTACCCAGTGTCGGCTCCATTGGTCACTCTCCCTGATGCCCCTAGTTCTGGTCTGTGTTCGCCTATGGCTGGTAGTACGCAGGCTAGTGCAGGCATAGGAGATGCGTTCATGTTGGCTGTGTCACTTAAACACAGACTGGCGAATGAGCAGCGTTTCTCGTCGTCTAATTTATCTAACCCCAACTCGGCCGGGCGTTTGGCGCTGCCTGAAACGGTACGTATGCGTAATAGTTTAGGGGGGTGTTCATGGCAATGTCTGATATGATATTAATATATGTGGTATTAATAGATATGGTACTAATTGATATGATATTAATTGGTATGATTTAAATAGATATGATAGTAATAGATATGATATCAATAGATATGATAAAAATAGACATGATATCATACACATGCCACTATTACACTATTTCAGTTACAAAGTGTGTGGTTATTCCGTTTTCGTTTCGAATTGTGTAGGTATGCATGTGTTTTAGGGTTTGGGGGGTTTAGGGTTGAGAGTGCCATCGAGCTCAACACACCTGCCGCCTGTCACGAAATACGAATTGCCAAACAACACACACGCGTGCGATCAGACGGAGACGGTTCTTTGTTGTCAATTGCACATATTCCTTTGTATACAGAGGAGAAGCACACTAGAACATAATGTGTTATTTAGTACACACGTTTGTTCGTACATGGAACACTATCACTTGAACTTGATTAGTTACTACTACACACTTTACATATGTACACAGCACAAGCGACACTTGTGTTACTTACTTACTACACACATATATTCATACACAGCACAAGCACAATATGCATAACTCATCCATACATACCCACAACACCATCCACTCAATGTAGGCCGCACAGGTGCTGAGGAGTGAGAATGACTTCAACGACGCGGAGGTGGCGCTGCACATGTACACAGGCATCACCAACACACGCTCCTTCCAACACACAGCCGAGAGAGTCAGTGAAGGGTTGCTGCAGGGGCGAGTGACGGTGGTCTACGAACAGGACGAGATGGATGAGAACGGCGACCATGAAGCAGGTGGGTTGTGTCCATGGACACATGTGCGTAGCCGAGGCCCGCTGATATATATATATATATATATATATAGGATAGGTTATATCCAGTAACATTGTCAGTAGTACCGAAGTGTTCCCATGTCATGTACTCATTCATGTTCACACCTACTACCCTATGCCTACTAAGCGCGCATCTACATTCACAGAAACAAACACCAGCCTGCATCTGATCTGTAACCCTAAAACCCTAAAACCCTGCGTCTGATCTATAACCCTGAAACCCTACAACCCTGCATCCTGCCACCCGCACGCACCCACAGGCTTTGGATTGGTCCGTGTGCGCTCGACCAGCAACATCGACAACCTCAGCGAAGTGGACGATTTGTTGAAAGACAACTCCTTTGCCTTCGCTTCTCCGCACAGTTTAGCGCCTGTGGCCCAACCGAAGAGATTGCGAAAGGGGTCCAAAGGCAAACACCACAGTGCCAACGATTTGGTATGGGGGTGCCTGTGCCTGGACGGAGATGTGCTTGTCTGTGTTTGTAACATATATATATATATATAAGTATATAAGTATTGTGTGTGTGTGTGATTGTATTTAAATAAATTTTATTTTGATCTATCTGTCTTTCTATCTATTTATATATGTATATATATATATATGTGTGTGTGTGTTCACGAGGATATTCAAATTAACTTTGCTCATATCATTTCTACACTTTCACCAGTCCGGGGACAGTAATGGGGCGAACAACCGCTCTGGGCGCTCATCGGGGCGGCAAAGGGGAAACAGGTATCCATCCACTAACAATCGAAAGTAATATCCATACATGTTCTATACTATATGTACAAAGTTAAATCTCTCAATTGGACGTTTATCAGCACTTATGTGTACTGTGTGAAGGACATCAGGACAACTGAGTACATGTGGGTGTGTGCCAAGTCACGTGGTCGCATGGTTGCTGTTGGTATTGCAAACCGTGAGATGCACATCATTGACGTGGTGCTGCATGCTTGCATGAGAATGGCGTGCATAAGCGACTGATTATATCATACGCACCTATGGTGATATATGTATATCTATCTATCTATATATTATATATATATATATATATATATATATATATATATATATATATATATATATATATATATATATATATACATCTATATTATATATATTATATATATATATATATATGTATATATATACATACCTATACTTCTTCTGCCAATTTGCAAGTAAGCACTAGCATAGCAGCATGTCGTCTGGTGGCAGTGAGTGATTGAATTGGCTTGTGGTACACTCATTGTATGTATTTGATCACATGCGCACATATATACATTTCATCTGCACATTATGAGTATGTATATGCTATCGTTAAGTGTATGTATATATAATCACACTAATCCACACTCAGACAACCAGGCTCATCATGAGTAGTTTATATACTTCTCTATGCACACACACGTCACGAACCATTCATGCATCACTCAACCTTCGTCACCACCCATGTGTAGTCAACGAGACCCAGAAACGGATTAACGGGCAATGGTATATGCAATGGCGAGGGATGCCTTCGTCACACCCACGTGCATGTGCACACTGTATCACTCACCCTTTGCTGATGTCACACTCACACTCCTGTCATATGTCTGTGTAACCAATACAACGGGACAGTGGCGAACCCAACACCGCCAATCAGGACCAGGACGGGTGGACAACACCCAAGAAACTGCCAGCGAAGAAACGGGGCAGTTTAGTACTCAACAACAAATACAACGGACGACGACAAGCACACGCACAGCAGAAACGACAGACCATCACAATCAATGTATGAGTCATTCAATGTATGAATCATACAATGTATGAGTCATACAAATATGAGCCATTCAATGTATGAGTTATTCAATGTATGAGTTAATCAATTGTATGAGTTATTCAATGTATGAGCCATTCAATGTATGAGTTATTCAATGTATGAGTCATACAATTATGAGTTATTTAATGTATGAGTCATTCAATGAATGAGTCATACAATGCATGAGTCATTCAATTATGAGTTATTTAAGGTATGAGTCATTCAATGTATGAGTCATTCAGTGTATGAGTCATTCAATGCATGAATCAATCAATGTATGATAACCGAGGGAGACGCATGTTTAGTCTGTGCATGTGTGTGCGTCTGACTGTGTGTTGTGTGTTGTGTGTTGTGAGTTCAGTGTACTTCGTGTATATGCTTGTGCGCAATAAGTTTATTCGTTGGGTAATGTAGTACAGCTGACCAATCCGAAGCACAAGGACAAGTCCACTTCACAACGAGGACGTTTGACCGTCACTGTAATATAGTTTTGCGTTCAACAAAACTCATGCGAAGCAAAAGATTGAATGTTAGGAGGCTGATTAGTAGGTATATGAGTATCATATCTATTCATAGCTTGAACGGCAGATATATCATATCCATGTATAGCCTGTCATATCTATGTTTAGATTGAATGGCAGGTATATCATATCTATTCATAGCATCTCATATTTATTTGTAGCCTGTCATATCTATTTATAGCCCGTCATCTACATTTGTAGATTGAATGGTAGGTACATCCCATCTATCTGTATAGTACTGTGTGTTTGTGCCATTAGTCGGTGTACTCATGCTGTGTGTCTGTGCTATTGGTTAGAGTTCCTTCGAGGATGTCATGTCATATCTATTTATAGCCCGTCATCTACATCTGTAGATTGAATGGTAGGTACATCCTATATATCTGTATAGTACTGTGTGTTGGGACTTACTCATGCTGTGTCTGTACCATTGGTTAGGTTTCCTTCGAGGATGTCATGTCATATCTATTTATAGCCCGTTATCTACATTGGTAGATTGAATGGTAGGTACATCCCATCTATCTGTATAGTACTGTGTGTTGGGACTTACTTACTCATGCTGTGTGTTTGTGCCATTGGTTAGTGTACTCATGCTGTGTGTCTGTGCCATTGGTTAGGGTTCCTTCGAGGATGTCAACATAGCGAGGATCGAACTGCTCTCCGCCGCAATGACCCAGACGATGAATCGTCGCAAGTCATATTACTATCCACCAGGATCACTCAAGAACACCATGGGACGAGTGCAGGTGTGTGTGTGTGTAAGGGTTCAGGGTTTAAAAAACCCTAAAGCCCAGAACCCAAAACCCAAAACGTGTGTGTGTGAGTGAGTGGGGCCGTAGGGGAGTACTAGCTGCGTGACAGTGTTGTTGCACAGCACAGGCTATGCAGCGGACACACACAGACGTATGACCCAACAAGTATCACCCAGGATAAGAGCGTCTGAGTGAGTTGCTGAGACCAATATTGTTGGGTTTTAGGGTTTAGAGTTTAGACTCTGTAATCTGGTATGTTCCGAGTATGGACCTTCATCGTGAGCGGTAGATTGGCCACTTAGTATGCGATGTATGTACCAGTATTCCTGAGGCGTAGTTCTTCTTACACTTCGTGGAGTTTTTATCTACCCTCTGCCAAGGATGTCAGGGTTTAGGGTTCTAGAAACCCTAAACCCCTAAAACTACTACGTATTACTTGCATTACCAGCATGTGCAGACCACTGCTCTGCGGTGCAATTGGTACACAGCTATGCCTGAATTAGGCTACAGCCACTTGGCGACCCCACAGGCTTAACAATCGATAATTGTCCACATATACTCTTGCGACTGTATAATTGTCCACATATACTATTCCACTAAGGCAGCTCTCGTCTCATACACTCGATGCTGCTTGAATTCAATACAAGACTCCTTAGCGTTGACTCAATGCCCAGACATGCTGACACTCATAATAGCATCCCGGTGAACCAGTATTGCTTGTCCTCTTGGTATCAGTACACTTTTGCAAACTTTTTGGTCCACTCTAAGCGGTCTGTCTATAAACTGGCTTAACTAATATTGGGAATACTCTCAATTATATTCCGCTAATGCAGATATTTGTCGACCACTCGAATCTATTCTTTGGCGCGCAAATGGTGCGGAGTAATGTGGATGATCAGGGCGGCTATGTGGCCGAGAGACGCCTGCGACTGTGTGTCAAACAACTTGTGCGACTAATAGAGAAGGGCCGGCAAGTCAGGTGGGACCATCCAGATGTTATTTGTTATGTTGTGTTATATTATGA